CTCAAAGACAGGACATCCGGTAATTCTGTTGGAGCACAGTTATTTCAGGAGATTGTGTTGGACATGAGTTTTGGTTCATTGCAGAGAGAGGTGCAGCTGGCCGATCAAGCTGGAAGGGACCAAGAAAGGGAATATGACCTGCAGGTCAGCATCATAATGTGTTATCTTCTCAAATCACCAGCAGCTGGTGCAGACAAAACAGAGCTGGCATATGGTTCCTGTTAAGTTGCTGTATACAAAGAATTTTCCTAAAATGATTTTGCTTGATGAATAAAATTTTTAACAATGCAGTTTAGTGATTATGTGGTTAACTGTACAGTTTATTACACGGCTACTTACCAATGAAATTAATAGACTTGAAATATTGGTTCACCCAAAAAGAATGTATTTGTCCATACAGTGAAAGTCAGTGGAGTCCAAAAGAACAATAGGTCTCATATCATTGGACACACACACACAAAACACAAGACATGTTGAAAATGATCTTCATTTGTGTTTGACAGATGGATCAAAAAATCAAAAGCACTTGGAAAGGTATTAAAGTGAGTAAATGATGAAAGAATTTTTAATTTTGGGTGGATTTTCCATTTGAAATCTTTTGCTACAAAAAGTAGTACATAACAGAAAATAATCTGCCCGGCAAAAAAAAAAAAAGTATGTATATATATATATAATATAAAAATCATGTTAAAATGTCAGTATCAAATATTATGCATCAGGCTTTTGAGGAATGATTATTTGTTCATCTCTCATCCATGAATGTATATAAATTAGATGTTTTGCCCCCACAATAAAAACTGCAGAGCGTTGATAAAACCATTTGAAAAAACATTTAAATATCATGTTAAGACATTTTATTGGGAGATATAGAATGACAACTGATATTTGTATTTATTTTATGTAAGCAGTCTGTTATTTTATTTGAAAGATCTCACTTATTTACATTGCAAACTATCAGAATTTCATCTTTTTGGCAATATAAATATCAACAATTGCACCAAATCGCATATTTTTGCTCAGGTTGGGCCTCTAAATTAAATTTGTGTTTTTTTCTTTTACTCCTCGAGTTTGAGCTCTACATTCTCCTATATCATACTATAGGCCTATGATATATTATGAGCCATAAAAGTGAGATAAAAAAGAAAGAAAAGAAAAAAAAAAGAAAATCAGTCCCATAAAATGTAAAAAAAAAAAATAGTGATTTTTTTCTGACTATTATTTACAGGGTTAAAAAGCTGCTTGTCTTCTATTTTGTCTTTCATCCAGCTCTTTGAGTCTCTACTGATATATTTTATAATGAAGTATGAAGCATGAAGCATAAAACCACCTGGATATTTTCACCAGCACAACAAAGACATTTGTGTCTTCTGTCTGAAAGCATTCCTGACGTTCCATCTTTCTCTGACTAAGCTCATTTTACCGTCCTTGTGGTTTAGGACCCGTTCGTGATGTTTGGCAGTGATCTGAGTTGTTTCGCAGGACAAAAACAACAGTCCACTCATCGAAACAATAATGATATGCTGTATTCAAGCACTCGATGTGTCCGGTGTGAGCAGACTAAAGAAAACACATTTTTCTGTGTTGTGTCTAGTTTTGCTGGCGTTGAGGGACTGAGCACCACAGGGAGAGGAAATGCCATAGAGATCGCTACATATGTGGAGAAAACACTGGTGTCAGAGCTGTCTGGGAATGTTATTGACATCTGCCCAGTAGGAACACTGACCTCCAAACCTAATGATTTCACCTGCTGACCCTGAAAAACCAGGTGCAGAAATGCTTTACAAGCACTGATCTCTCATAAAGTGTTCTTTAGTGCTTTTGCCTGGTGAGGTGAGTGAGTTCAGAGTCCATCAGTGTGAAAGCAGTGGACTCTAACATTCATTCACTGTTAAAAATAAAGGATCTTATTGGCATTTATGGTTCCATAAAGAACCTTTAATATCTATAGAACTTTTCCACTGCACAAAAAGGTTCTTTATAGTGGAAAAAATGTTTCAGAAAAAGGTTTCAAAGGGCTTCAAATGATTGAAAGGTTCTTTCATTGAAATGGTTCTTCTGTTGCATCGCTTCCTTTTGGAACATTATTTTTAATGGAATTTGCAATTGCGAGTTATAAAGACAGAATTGCGAGATATAAACTGGCAATTCTGAAAAATGAAGTCAGAATTATGAGATATAAACCTGGTTAGTGTCTGGTTAGTGTCTTCTGCTAGTTAGCGAAGCATTACAAAACTATGTAAACTTATAAATAACAGATTGGAGATAAAAAAAAAAATAGCAGATTTGTCTCATTTTAAATAAACAAAACTGAGATGAACTGATATGATAAAAACTGCACTGCAAAAAATGGCTTATCTTAGTATTTTTGTCTTGTTTCTAGTCAAAATATCAAAAAATTCTTAAATCAAGATACTTTTACTAGATAAGCCAAATGACTTAAAATATTTAGTCCTGTTTCCAGGGGGAAAAAAAAACTAAATTAAGCACATTTTGCTTAAAACAAGTAAAATTATCTGCCAGTGGGGTAAGTAAAATACTCTTGTTTTATGAATATTTTACTTACCCTACTGGCAGATAATTTGCAACATGCACGTAACATGCACATCATCAGGAGACTTTTAAGAAGGAAGTCTGTGACTCGGGACCGTAAGCAACTACCCAGCACACTCTAGCAACCGGGATTTAGCATTTCCCTAACAAAAGCAACTTGCTATTACCACTCAAAACCCCTTAGCAACCACAGAGCAATGTCCTGGCAACCACTAACAACGTCCGAGTTTCATGGCAATGAATTTTGCGAGCATCACTCAGAATCTAGTTAGCATTCTAGCTGCTTAGAGGCACGTGTCTCTCGTCCTCTGATGATTTATTTGTTCAAATTGTGCCTCCATATGGTGAAAGGTGCTTTCTATCATTATTCTAAAAAAATGATGTATGTTATGGAAAACATTAACAGAACTAGATACAGTCATTCTGTGTGCACGCGTCTGTGTATTTCTCTCTGTCGCCCTCTGGCCCTCAACAAAATGTCCACAAAAAGGAGCTCTTTAAGTCATGGATATTTTAACTATATCTCAAATGGTTAACTTCTTTGTCTTGCTAAGGTTAATTTCATAGTCAGCATTATACAGTATATCCAAAATACACGCAAGCAAATAAAATGTCACAACTTTTGCATAATTTGACAAAGTTACACATTTATTGGAAATTATGTGCAAAAATATTATTTATTTATTTACAATTTTCTTGTTTGTTTGTTTTTTTTCTTTTCTTACAGAGTATGTCCTATAAGCAAGTGCAATAACCTTTGGGAAAAGTTGAAAGTTTAGGGGCAACACTGTTGTGGTGGAAATTACATTACATTTGGGTGTTGTAATGTTTAAAAAAAAGTGTTTTATGGTCATAGTTTAATATAGTTGTAACCTGTAATAAATATATTTTTATGATAAATTTTATATTTTACGATGGAATGTCTGGGTCTGGTATGAGGGTAAAACAATACAATCTACAAATAAATGTAGCAAAAATAAATGATGACGCATGATGAAATGATGCCAAGTCGTAATGCATAAAATTAGCCCCCGAAACCTGCTTAAAAATCAACACCTGGGATGTACAAGTGCCGAGATTATTGCATGAAAAGTGAGACAGAGACCTGTTTAGTTAATGTATTATGATTATAGATTATGGAATAGATTATGGATTGGAAATAGATTTGATGCATTACCCCTAATAAGCCAGGTTATGATTTTTCTAACTCTGATTGTGTTGCATTAAGGCTCACTGCAGCATCTGAAGTATCCAGTTTGTATTATATATTATTTATTAATATTTTAAATTTATTTGTTATTTTCAGTTTTCATTCTTATTTAAATTTATGATTTAGTCATGTTGTTATGTGATTTTGTCATTAATAATAATAATGATTCTGTTTAGCTTTATTTTATTTAAGTCTATTTTATTTTTTTTTTATGTTATTTCAGCTTTATCTTAATTGCAGAAAATGATTTTAATAGTAGCCAGCCTCTTTATTGATAACAACACTGCTACACTGAACATTTCTTTTTAAAGGGATAGTTCACCCAAAAATGAGAATGTGATGTTTATCTGCTTACCCCCAGGGCATCCAAGATGTAGGTGACTTTGTTTCTTCAGTAGAACACAAACGAAGATTTTTAACTCAAACCGTTGCAGTTTGTCAGTCATATAATGGAAGTGAATGGGAATCACGGCTTTGAGAGTCAAAGAAACATACACAAACAAAACCAAATTAAACCCTGCGGCTCGTGACGATACATTGATGTGTAAAGACACGAAACGATCGGTCTGTGCAAGAAACTGAGCAGTATTTATATCGTTTTTTCACGTCTGATGCACTGCAATGTCCGAACTGTCCTGAGCGGCGGCACGTCCTCCTGAGCGAGTTCTCAACAGCCGGCGCGTGACGCGTCTTCTTCTTCTTCTTCTTGCTTTACAGCGGATCGCAGACTTATACAGTTCAGTTATATACTTCAGTAAATACTGTTCAGTTTCTTGAACAGACCGATCGTTTCGTGTCTTTACACATCTATGTATCGTCACGAGCCTCAGGGTTTAGTTTGGTTTTGATTGTGTATGTTTTTTTTTTTTACTCTCAAAGCCGTGATTCCCGTTCACTTCCATTATATGACTGACAAACTGCAACGGTTTGAGTTAAAAATCTTCGTTTGTGTTCTTATGAAGAAACAAAGTCACCCACATCTTGGATGCCCGGGGTGGGGTAAGCAGATAAACATCACATTTTCATTTTTGGGTGAACTATCCCTTTAAGACGTAATATACAATGTTTAACAACAATGAATGTTTTTAAGACTTCTATATGGCGTGTTGTAGTTCATCACCATGGTAACTTTAGTATGATTGTTGTACAGTAAGGTGTTTTGCAGATTAGTTGATTGATGATGGTAGAGGAGCAGTTGTCATGTCCCCGCAGCGCCGGTAGTGGTGCTGTGAGTCCGCCGAGCACTGAACTCTAAACCCCCGCAGATCTGTTCAATGAGAGCAGACGATAACATAATATCGAAAGTACATTAGTGATCGCTTTGACGGTTCACCACCTCAACAGGGAATAATATTCCTAAACATAAGGAATTCCGATGAATATTCGGTGCAGTCGATGATCTGTGGCGTTTGTACAGTCTGTCCGGAGTGAGACCCCGTAGAGGCTGAACCCACTGCAGGTAAGCGGACTCGATTTCTGCTCTAACCGACTCATGAGCGCTCTAACCCCCTCACCGCGCTACTCGAATACCGAGGCTTGGCAGCTACTGTAGGCCAATGTTTACATTGACTTAGAATGGATATTCAGCAAACTGTATCATGCCGTGGTCACTAATTCTAATTAAACGGAGGCTGCAATAATTGTATTAATTTTAAAGAGATTAATTTGCAAAGGCTTCTAAAAATTAAACTACTATTAATGCTTAATCGGCTGCAGCGACCCGCTCTTTCGGCCTGATTTAATGGCCGCATCCGCCATTGTTTATAGCCACATTTACTGCGATTAACATGCACAAACTTCACGCATTTAATAAAATCTAATAACATAATTCGCGCATGCATGAGCTTATTTTTCTATTTTTAGCTTTTTAAATATGACACTAGCGCAGTATCACGTCCGCGTTTCTGTTTCCTGGGTTTGTTTTTAGCATTGTAGCTAACGAGTGTGATCAAAATAATGTGTGATATTGACAGTCAGGGGCTGAAACTAAATTTTAAACTGATACTAATATAAATGTGCTTTAATGGGGGTAAAAGTGTCAAAATACTGACTGAATATGTATGTATGTAATGTAATAGCATATCGATTTGATGACAGCGATGTTTATTTAACGAAACTGATCATTTGTGAAGTATGAGGTTAAAGAAAAGATTATATGGATATCGTTATAATATCTGCGGAAGCGTGTAAGTTCATTAATTCAGTGTCACAATAAAACCGAAAAGTATTTTTGGACTTGTACCATAGTATTTCCGCGGTTTTCTTTGTCAGGAACCTTGACTTATCATGTATATGACCTCAAACATAAAGTTGCTAATAATTTAGTATATGTAATATAATATATATTATAGTCACTGAATTTTACTTGGGCCATTTTTTCATGACTCATCTCAAAACCACATAATTTCTAACAGTGACCTGAACCATACAGTTATGTCAAAACCAAGCTGAGGATATCATATTTATCACTTTTATGGCTATGTCACATGCGTGTTTGTTTTGGTTGCACTGGTCTCTATCTTTGTGTTCCGATCTTTGTAGTTAACCTATAACCACATCAACTAGCTGTGACTCTGGGTTGCATTTATTTCAAACATTAAACCGAGACACAAGAGGTAACTATTATATTGTCAGTGTTTTATTGCATGGTCATGATTAAAGCCTGTAACATCTAATACAATAGATATTACATGACATTTATAGGCTTTGCGTAAAATACATTTAGCATTTATAAATTAAATATATACTGTGAGTTTAGTGTGTGTTATTTATGTGGTGTAATGCACACTCTTTTCTGTCTCGGATCAGCTGATGTTCTCAGGGACCAGAGTCACGTGATGTACGAAGGTAAACACATCCATTTCTCAGAGGTGGATAATAAGCCGCTGTGCTCCTACAGCCCCAAACTCTGCAAGCAGCGCAGATTGAACGGATACGCCTTCTGCATTCGTCATGTTCTGGAGGACAAAACCGCTCCGTTTAAACAGTGCGAATATGTGGCCAAGTATAACAGTCAGCGATGCACCAACCCAATCCCCAAAGCAGAAGAGCGAAGGTAAGATGGGAGGGAATCCAGCAGATTAGAGGCTTAGGTGCTTTACAGGTGCTTTTTTTTACATCACACTTGTTTCCCTTAATGGTTCATTGTAAAGCTAAAAAGCAGTTAAGCGTATCTGTGGTAAAATCACTGTACAGCACTGCATGTTTCTTAGGAAATGTGACACTGTGACAATTTCGAACTCCATCTCTGTAAGTTTAATGTGCATTTGGTAATGCAAAGTGCATTGGTTATGCTTAATTCTCACATAATTGCATGATTCGCATAATTTGCATAATCTCCATTTTTGTGGATGGAGGAGTACAATATTTGGCTAGATTTGTAATGAGAAGTGTTTGTCAGCTTGTTGTCACAGAATCTTAAAGGCTTCCCAGTTTTCTGCAAAAGTAAAAGTGAAGAAACTAATTTACTACTGTAGTGTAAAATAATTAATATACTTATTATAAAACATTTATTTTACAGTACATTTATAATGGTATAATCTCCCTCGCCCTGTTTCAGAAAAAAAAGGTCAAAAGAAAATATAATAATAATTTAGATACTGTTCAAATGTAATAATATTTGACATTTTTTATTCTCGTGTTATTGACAATAGTATTGAATATCAGTATTTTTCAAGGTATTGTATCAAAGTTAGAAAGTCAAGACTAATATACTACTTAAAGTAGTTACTGAAGTACTTACAGTAACTGGGTAGTAACTAGCTACTTACCCCAAACCAATTTTTTTATTATTTTATTTTGCAAGAATTGTATATTATAATTTATTGCTGATTTGTAGTTTCTGTTGTGTAGAAATCTGAAAATATCTTGTTTGACCACAGGCTGCTGATGGCAGAAAATGCAATAAGAACTTTGTCAATTTTTTATTCAAAATTATTAACGAGTAATTAATTAAAGAACCACGATCATTAAACAGAATTTGAATTTCTTATCTATTTCTCATCCCTATATGTGTGAATATGTTCCTGGCCTAATAACCGTATTTTACATTAAAGCCTATGCGTTACAACAATATAACATGAGAATCAATTAAATAAAGCACTAAAATTTGAGCTCCGCCAGTAGTTGCATGGAGGCATTTGACAGTATATCTCAATTCCTGATTAAAATGTGCTTTGTGTGATTTGAGCAGATGCTGTAACATGTACTGATGCTTTGGCAGATACTGTAACAGCCACCTACAGGTGCTTGGCTTCATCCCGAAGAAGGAGCGTAAGAAGAAGCAGGATGCTCTGGAGGAGGTTCGTGCCTGCGCTCACGTTGAGTCTGTCGCTCTAAACATCACCGTTCCCTCTCTGGCTCTGAGAGACACTAATGGGCTGGATGGCCTCCCTCCGTCTCCGCCCTGCTCCCGTCTGACTCCGATGCCTCTCTCGGACTCCGACATCCTCGACCCCTTTGCCTTCTATGAGGAGGACACGGACAGAGAGGAAAGCGTGGTGCAGAAGAGCTCCAGCAAGAGGAAGCTGCCCAGCAGGCCAGTGATTGGCCTGAGGGTGACCGCTTGGGACCCAGAGCACCGTCAGCCGGACATCGAGCACTTTAGCGCCGTCACTGAACCCTGCACACTTCCAACCTCCCCACACCTACCACAACCACCTCCACCACCGGCTCCACCTCCGCCTCAATCCTCGGCGAGGCTTGTCCAGCCCCCTCAACATACAGATCGGCCCGCTTACGCCCAACATGGGGCAGTGCAGACTCTGCTATGCAAGCCAGCTCCACCTCAGACTGGGCCTTCTGTTTTATCTGGTCTGCTCCCGTCAGCTGGGGTTCAGAACCAGCCTGTTAGCCGGAGACCTGTCCCTGCTGCGTCCCCTCACCCGCCTGCTGCCCAGGACTGCCCACAGCCCCGCGCCGTGGCCATGCGCCCCACTGCCTTTACAGCACCCCCTGTCTGCCTGCTCAGACTACAGCACCTTGTGCAGCTTTACGCTCAGAGACAGAGAGAACACGGAGACCTGTTCCCACATCTTGGTACGACCAACTTGTTACAATTAAGCAGTACTGTTCTACGCAATGCAAAATGCACAATCTTAAAAACTAGGGTTGCAAAGGGGCAAAAAAACTTTTGGAAAAGTTTCCAAAAATTCTGGAAAGTTTCGGGTGGATGTTAATTGTGTAAAAAATACATTTTTTATTAATTAGATTAACGCATTAAATTAACAGCATAGCAGAGTATATATATATATATATATATTATATATATATATATATATATATATACACACACACACACACAGACACACAAGTGTCCTGTTTAATTAAATGTACTCATTTAAAATGCAATAAAATTTAGTATGCTCACTTAAAAAAAATATCTATTTTAATACGTACAGGTCAGAATAAGTATGTTGTTTAAATTTGTACATAAATATAAGTTTTACACTGAATGACAGTGGAACATTATTTCACCCACATTTTGACATTTTATACTCCCCAAAACTTATTTGGGACCTTAAAAGTTGACACTTTACTTGCATTTAACGTGCTTTCTATGTATATAAAATAACTTTTTGATATATGCATACATTCACAAACACACACAAACGTTGTGGTCAGTAAGGAAATTATTTCTTTTATTCAGCAAGGATGATATTAAATTGATGAAAAGTGACATTAAAGATATTTATAGTTACAAAAGCAATGCTTTTTCAGCTAATACTGTTCTTTTCAACTTTCCAGTTCCCATAGTATCCTAAAAGAGTCATGAGAAATCCACAAAATTATTAAATGTTTCTTGAGCAGCAAATCAGCATATTAGAATGATTTCTGAAGGATCATGTGACACTGAAGACTGGAGTAATGATGCTTAAAAACTCCGCTTTGCATCACAGAAATATTTTTTCATTTTTGAATAAATTTTAAAATATACTAAATTACAAAACAGTTGTTTTAAATTGTAGTAATATTTTATAATATATGCAACAATATGCAATGTCCTTGATATATATGTCCTTGATGTCTGATCATATATGCATGTGTGTTTCCATAGGGCTAGACTGGTCTGAGGACAGTACAAATGATGAAGATACCGAGGAGCTTGTTCCTTTATTGCCTCAGGCCTGGAGACTTCAGGAAAGAAGCTCCCTTCAAAGGTAAGACATTCACTTGCTCACTTGCTCCTCACAACTTCTGAGATGGTAAATATTACAATTAATGTGCTCCACGAGTATAGATCAAAATGTTTTAGAAAAAAGCAAACATGTTATTATCCAGACTGATTTGTTTTGTTTGTATACGTCAGCTCCTCCAATGAAAAGCCGCTTTCCCGGCAAGCACGTCTGGCACAGCTATGTACATACCTACAGGAGAGGTATAAACACCTGTGCCGACAGGACAGGGCAGCCACCCGTCACAGCAGATACCGATACGCCTTCCGGAAAGCTCTGCTCCATGCTGCAAGCAAAGACCCAGACTGCACTGCACAGCTCATTCAGAAACTCAGCAAGAGCTCACAGACCTCAACCTGGTGTGTTGAACATGACATGTTTGCAAGGATTGCGTGCATTTCAGGGCTGTGTGCCATTTTAATATGTCTGTATAAATGATTTTATTTTTTCAGTTCACACAAGTATGAAAGGACAATGTGTACGGGAACCACGAAGGGTCAAAGCTGCAGCAACATAGCTTTGCCATTTTCACGTCACTGTTTTCAACGTATCCTTTAAGTAAAATGACCAGACGTTAGTGGTGGCCTAGTGATGAAACGATGAACTGTCAGTGTGAACAAGGGCCAAGTCACAAGCAACACCTACGTGCAGTTGTCAGATGCCAGTGTGTTATGTTCTTGACAGCACATTGACGCAGATATCCTGTTGAATCGCTCTCAGCAGCTGTTCTCCAGTTGCACGGCGCGGTTCGCTGATGGACAGCAGTGCTCCGTTCCTGTGTTTGACATCACTCACCAAACACCTCTTTGTGACGAACATGCCAAGAAAATGGTGAGAAACCACACAACTTATCTTGATAACCTTAAAAGGGATGTGTTTACACCATACAGAGTTGGTTGTAAGTTGTACGTAAATGTGTGTGTGTGTGGCAGGATAATTTCCTGCGTGGGGATGGCAACAGACGCAGTCAGCAACAGCAGCTGCGGCGCCCACGTAAGAAGACCAAGCCGCCTGCACTGACGAAGAAACACAAAAAGAAAAGAAGACTAGGTCCACGCAGACCGCAGAAGCCCATTCCTCCCGCTGTGCCACAGGGCAACTTGCTAATGCCCTCGCTCTCACTGCCCACTCACCATGCCCATGTCAGGTGCATATCCTGCTTTCAAATGCATCACAGTCTTGCTTCACAAATGTTTCGTTGTTGCATTTCAAAATGTGTCCTTTTACAAATCAGAAATACCAATGTTGTAGTCAAGACCAGCTCATTTGAGTCCAAGTCAAGTCACCTTTAGTTATATAGTGCTTTATACAATACAGATTGTGTCAAAGCAGCTTTATAGTATTAAAGAGGAAAACAGTGTCGATAATGCAAGAGGACAATAGTAAACAGTCAATTTTTCATTTAAAGTCAGTTCATCGTTGATTCAGTGATGGCATCATCCAGCTCAGTTCAGTTCACTTCAAATAGTGTCAAATAGCCAGAAATTAAGTGTCCCCAACTAAGCAAGCCAAAGGTAAGGAACATAAACTCCATCGGTGACAGAAGGGAAGAAAAAAAACTTGGGAGAAACCAGGTTCAGTCGGGGGGCCAGTTCTCCTCTGGCCAGATGAAACCAGCATGGTGTCTAGCTCAAGAGCCAAGTAGGTTGAGTTCAAGTCAAGATTGAGACTAGAAGAGGTTCTGAATGATCCATACCATGTAAATAAGGGGCACCCAGTCCTGTTCCTGGAGATATACCTTCTTACAAAGTTCATCCCTGATTCTAAGTCCAGCTAATTAAGGTACACTTTTTCAGGAGCAGTTGATAATTACAGATAATATAACAGGTGTGCTGGAGCAGGGTTGGAATTGAACTCTGCAGGTAGATATATCTCCAGGAACAGGACAGGGCACCCCTGAGTTACACAGTAAATATTCAAAATTCTGTCACGACAGCACTGAGTAGATCACATGCGCTAGTTGGCATGGACCACAAAATGTATCCACAGTATTATGCTGAGACCATGACAAGACCAAGACCATGATAATATGGTCTTGAGACCAAGTCCAGTTTCGAATACTAGCAAAACTGACAATCACATGTTGTATTGCCAGTGTTGTCACAAGGATACTGTAACAGCCAGTAGAGTAGGACAACTACTGTCATCAAAGAGTAACAGTATCTCACTGAGGATGTTAGTTAATGTAAGACAATCTGTCGGTATGTTGGTAGCTAGCTACCTGAAATGCAACTCTTCCGGTTCAATGAAAGGCATGAAGGGAAGGTTACCTCCACAGCAACAACACAAGAGGATCTGTGCTTGTAATGTGTTGGCCAACCATTCATATTTATGTACTTCTTAGAGTATGTTTCCGATTTTATTCAACTTAAAGGAGACATATTATGCCCCTTTTTACAATATGTAATATAAGTCTCTGGTGTCCCCAGAATGTGTCTGTGAAGTTTCAGCTCAAAATACTCCACAGATCATTTATTATATCATTTTGAAAATGCCTATTTTGAGTGGAAGCAGAAACACGCTGTTTTTCGGGCCTGTCTCTTTAAATGCAAATGA